TGAATTCTGAGAGCTCTCTGACCCTCCCATAGACAGCAAGGATACTACCACGGTCAAAGTCCAGAAACTTAGCAAGGAGATCGGTAAAATAATTCATGTGGCATCAGGGTTTCAACCATAATTTTACAAAGCTACGAGAACACTGTGCACAAAAGAAAAAAAAATATCGACTTTATTCAACAATTCGTCTCCTCCGCGTCACCCTGGCGCCATTTTGGAGAGTATCCACTGAACGCAAACAGCGTATGTTGTTCTGTGTCAGCCGCACGGAATAATTAATGACAGAATTTTCATTTTTGGGTGAACTAACCCTTTAACATCAGCATGTGGGGTTCAGTCTAGACCAGGGTTTCCCGAAGTGTGGGCTGCATATTTTGCGACAAATCAAATTCACACACACACAAAAAAAGGCATTGCAATGCAACAACACTGGATCACACCCATGTCATTAAACACGGTTCATACTACAGCTGTAGTGATGTTGCATTTTGCTGCTTTGTAGATTAAAATGGGTCCAGTCTTACTTCACACACTTGCTTGTGGTGTAAAAGTCAATTACAATATGTACACAATCATTTATATATTTCCCCCCTTGCATTCTATAATCAAATAATGGTTTTTTTTGGTAAAGAAAAAAAAAAAGTACGATTAAACATTAAAGTGAAAGTGGTGGATAGGTTGGTTATCCATACCCAATATATAGGCACATGTACGATTATTATGTTTGGGAACCCATGATCTACACATATATTACAGCTAAAAACGAAATTGGTCTTAATTGCTTAATTTACTATAGTTGGGATATGATCCTGATGTGTGCCTAGTGGGGAACTGTGAGGGGAACATGATTTGGTGCATTTCACATACAAGATACCCATTTACTGAAGACAAAATAAGAAACACTTGCATTTTCTACATCAAGCACAGAAAGAAGACAAAGCTAAATTAAACCACTTTCTAATGTGAAATTGCATTGGAAAAAAAACTATTCAAGACACATTATCAGTCTGTGTTGGGGAGGAGGGGGCATAAATATCATTTTCATTTCTTCGAGACATTCTACAAGACAACTAGAAGAGTTGCATGGGCTGAACTTCTGGATTACATACAAATATGATATTATTTAGAACACATACAGCATGGGGGCACTTGACCAAAGGCAGTAATAGTGTATTCGACCCACTGGGCCTTCTTCAAACATGTATGTAATATTAATGCAACCAGCTCAATTCAGCATTCTTGATGTACTTTTAATGGAAAGATTACCGTTTACATGATTCTGCACAGACCTACGTGCAAATGTAAAACGTGTTAAATGGTCCATGCATTGATATAAATTATTGCATGAGACAGAAAACGTGTTTTCTCAGTCCATTAAAAGTGCCGAGACTATTCAAAACCTGCAAAAACGTCGCCTGAAAAATCAATCGACACATTCCGACTGAAACTCAACGCCCCTCAAAAACACGAGCAAAAATACCGCCCAAATAATCGTATTAAAAAGGACAAGCTCAGTCCAAATGTCTACAGCCGAATAAAAACAGTCTACTCGTGTTGGGAAAAACAGTCTGTCACGTTAAAAATGGACATAAAACGCATTTATATTCTGAATCCTGAACATGGAGGGAAAAACGACCCCATCTTGAAAACACAACCACCGGTCCATATGAGACATTTCCTCCAAATTACCTTCAAAAATCAAACAAACCAACTGCTCTAGCAGTAGTCCTGCAAAAATGGGGTGAAAAATAACTCCTACTTTGAAAAATAAAATAAAAATCGTGCGGTCCTCTCAAAGCATATATGGTTTTCACTGCTCTACCATCACAAAATGTACGCCACCAAAGCCAAGCAGAAAATGACCAGAAAAATGCATTAAAAATAAAAAACAAAAAAATCTCCAAAGTCAGTCAAGAATAAAAACAAAAAGTGAAAAAATCTCTCGAATCAAAATACTCACCGGGAGTTTAAGACTAAAAATGATTAAAATTCGGTGCTGTACTGTTTTGTGGATACAGTCCGTACCAGCTCGTTCAGTAGACACCGACCAACTGACGAATGCACGAAATGGCGTCGCGCAAATGCGCACTGGAAACAAGCCCCGCCCCGCTCTATATATCCTCGAATCTCATTGGCTACATCTCAGCGCGCTGGAGAACAGCATGGCATTGATTGGTGGATTTACGCGTCATTCTCTTGTACGTCATTCTTTTTTGAATAAAGACCTCGTTTGATTGGTGGATTTAATATTTGGTTAGCAGCATCCCCCCTCAGAGTACAAATGGCTTTATAAAAGCTGTTCGTCCAGTTTATACAGTTATCAAGTCGTTAAATCCGAAGTAAAGGTCTTTACAAAACATTGTATAGCAAAAATAGTTATTTTACTACATTAAAACGTGGTAAATTGCCATTAAAGGTAAACAAATTTATATCCTCGAATCTCATTGGCTACATCTCAGCGCGCTGGAGAACAGCATGGCATTGATTGGTGGATTTACGCGTCATTCTCTTGTACGTCATTCTTTTTTGAATAAAGACCTCGTTTGATTGGTGGATTTAATATTTGGTTAGCAGCATCCCCCCTCAGAGTACAAATGGCTTTATAAAAGCTGTTCGTCCAGTTTATACAGTTATCAAGTAGTTAAATCCGAAGTAAAGGTCTTTACAAAACATTGTATAGCAAAAATAGTTATGTTACTACATTAAAACGTGGTAAATTGCCATTAAAGATAAACAAATTTTGCTAAGTTGTAGAAATATTTTAAAAACACTGTAGGAAATATTAATTTATAAGTTTCATATAACTGTTGTAATTAGCTATGGTGTTTTGATATTGAACTCTTTTTGTAAACCACCATGCTTGTTGTAAAAAAAAAAAAAAACTGTGAAAGTTACTAAACATCTACTTAAAACAAAGCCATTGAATGATAATTGCTAATCACAATATTATTGATGAACATAATTTATTTGAAATTCTGACTCACTACAGGAAATTATGGCAAGAAGAATGATAAACTGCCAACAGTTTATTGTACTTTATACAATGGTACCGTTAATGTAATGTAAAACACAAAGTAAGCAAGTCATGCATTGTGATGTTCTCACGATATATGGGGTAAGTTGTCACAATGGAAACTTAAATGGTTTTTTTTCAGCAAACGTTCAGTATTAAAACAATAATAAAACAAAACAATTCATGAACAGCAACAATTCAGCATGCAAAATCACTGCTTTTGACTCAAAACTTAAAATTTACGACTATTTGTGACAGTTGCTAACTTACCAACAATGCAAAAGAATTGACCCAAAAAAAAAAAGATGCTATTTCAAGTTTTGAAATAATCAAAGTTAACAAGCTAATACGTCAATGAGCTACACTTTTAGAGGAAATAAGGATTGGAGATCACCACTTCAGCTTTCGGGAGTGACAACCTGCAACAAATCAATCATTAATATCTGAATATTTTCCATTTTTATTTGAATGCAACTAAAGAATGTAGTAACATTTAGAAGAGGCTACCTTTCTTGTCACTCGTCTTGCTGCGTTGGCGTGGAAGAGTGAAGTCAAAGTGGAAAGACGACGATGACGACGATTCAGGAGTCTTCAAAACCTCTTCAAGTTTCACCTGCTCCTGATTCTCCTGCGGTGACAGAAAGTAATCCATCATTATGTGTAGCTTCCTAATTAAAATGGACAAATTTGGTGAAAATTTGCTGTAAATGGTATATTTGGTTCTCTTTTCTCTTTCTCCAAAATATAAACACTTTTCAGTTGACAACTTGTACATTTAATATATAATGTATAACATTTAATATTTAATATAATAAAGTATTATTTAAAGACCCAATGCCTAAACTTAACAACTACCTTACTAACTATTAATAAGCAGCAAATTGGGAGTTTATTGAGGCGAAACTCATGATTAATTTTGTTAATAGTGAGAATTGGACATTAAAGGTGCAATATGTAAAAAAAAAAAAAATTTTTATTAAAATATCCAAAAACCACTAGAACAGTGTTATATATTTTGCTGACTTGTGTGCTTACATTATCCCAAATGTTTCGAAGAATGTTTAAATCCAGAGAAATAAGCAATTTTAGCTAGTGACACGGACCGTGTCCATAGTGTCATTGTGTCGCCTGCCAATGACGTCATAACCCCTCGATTTCCGTTTTGTTTTGTAGAAAACATGGAAACACCAAAGACGCTTTAATATGTTGTGCGTTTTATTAGACAGGTGACGACCGCACAGAGTAGCATAATAACAGAACTTTCAAAGTATGATCTAGTATGATAAAACAGCGCTGCTTTACCCCACATACGCACGACCGGAAGGAGCGGAAGCGCTCGACTGAGGCATAATAAAAGCTCCACTGCTTTCGAGCCGTGTGTCACTCTCGTCTCTCTTAAGCAATTGCTTCAGCAGCCTCGTTTCGCTACGATGGCTTTCCGCCTCACTCTGCTTCATACTATGATGTTAATAAATCTTTAATACATTAGCTCATCCATGAACATGATTTCTGCCCGAGTCCCATCAGATTGCATCGGCTGTGGGGATGAAGACCACAACTCCCATGATTCCACACTGAGCCACAACAAGCTACGCCTTTGTTTCTTTGTTTGTTTTGAATATGTGCCCTCTAGTGGCGAAAACTTAAATATTGTACCTTTAAAAGAAAGTGTGACCAAATATACATAATGTTAATATACAGGTGCATCTCAATAAATTAGAATGTCGTGGAAAAGTTCATTTATTTCAGTAATTCAACTCAAATTGTGAAACTCGTGTATTAAATAAATTCAATGCACACAGACTGAAGTAGTTTAAGTCTTTGGTTCTTTTAATTTGGTGGGTTTTTGTTAAATGTGAGCCAAAATCATCACAATTAAAAGAACCAAAGAAACAAACTACTTCAGTCTGTGTGCACTGAATTTATTTAATACACGAGTTTCACAATTTGAGTTGAATTACTGAAATAAATGAACTTTTCCACAACATTCTAATTTATTGAGATGCACCTGTATAACTTTTAAGTATACATAAATTAACCTAGGAGGTAGCTAAATATCTGTTTACAAAAAAGTGTTTCAGGCCATTATTTGTGAAAAGTGCCTGTTGCTTACATCAGATGGGCTTTGTTGGAGTCTGGTTTTGAGTTTAGGTGTGTTTTGACTGTGCTTCTCCTTCTCTCTCTCCCTCTGTTGAAGGATAGCACTGCGAGTGGCTCTGTACTCCAGAGCGAAGTCACTGACAGTCTTACAAAACACCTCTGCACTCGTTTCTTTCACCATGGTACGCGAATAACCGAGGAAGAGCAGGAACGAGTGGAATCTAAATGCAAGGGAAAATAAAACAAATTGAGCACTGCGATGTCTTGGACATTTCATGACATTTTATATATTAAGTATTACACTTATTGGTAACTGCAAGTGTGGTAAGATGAAATAGTATTAAATAACTGTGACCCTGGAGCACAAAAGCAGTGTTAAGTCGCTGGGGTATATTTGTAGCAATAGCCAACAATACATTGTATTTTCCTACTGTAAATATATCAAAACTTAATGTTTGATTAGTAATATGCATTGCTAAGAGCTTCATTTGAACAACTTTAAAGATGATTTTCTCAATATTTCGATTTTTTTGCTCCCTCAGATTCCAGATTTTCAAATAGTTGTCTCTCAGCCAAATATTGTCCTATCCTAACAAACCATACATCAATGGAAAGCTTATTTTTCCGGCTTTCATAAATGTATTGAGATGTATAAATCTCAATTTTGAAAAATTGACCCTTATGACTGGTTTTGTGGTCCAGGGTCACAAAATAACTATACCAATCAAGAATTTTGACAAACTTGATTTAATATTTCATGACCATTAAAATTGTATTGATCTAAAATTTACTTTAATGCTTTAAGTTAGTTTTGTAGACTTAATTTTGTTAAGATTTGGCTAAATGAGGGTAAAAAAAAAACTATTTGCACATGGTTCAACGCAAATGTTTCAATGACAATTAGCTATGGCCTGTTTTGCCATTTTGTGTTAACCAACTCGTTTTACCTGTTGATGACTCTGCGGTGAACGGCTCGTAGCACCTTCAATCTCTCCCCGCAGTCTTTCAGAAACTTGGTAAGCCTCTGATGGAGCGTTGCCTCTTCTCCACCTTCCTCTTTTCTTCCTCCACATTTCTTCCCATCCTTCTCAAGTAGTCGGAGTTGATCCCAGCATGCTTTGCAAAGCGATTCAAGCTGCGAGAGATTCAGCTGCACTTGTGTGTAGTCACACTAGCCGCCAGCGTGTGAATGTTTATCAGAGACAGGAAAAGAGGGATAAAGACAATAGAAGGAAACATGGTCAAACAGGATACAAATTAACTGGATATCATCCAACCCTGCTTGGATTAACTCAGAAAAAAGATTATGCATTTTTACCACTCAAAACTCTTGACGCAATATTATACCATTTCCATAGGTTAGAATTCTAATAAAGTAATCAAAACTAAATAATAAATAATAATAATTGGTCTAATAATAAAGTGAGCTTGTATCTGTTTCTTCTGTAGTTACATCGTGTACTAAGACCGACGGAAAATGAAAAGTTGTGATTTTCTAGGCCGATACGGCTAGGAACTATACTCTCATTCCGCAATGATACTCTCATTCTCATCTTCAACCGCCAGACCCGGAGATCGGCTGAATGGATTCGAAAACGGTAAAACTCAACTGTTTAACTCTAGGGGAGTTGGCCTATTTTCAAAAATAGTGGAGTGTTCCTTTAAGACTGGTTTTGTGCTCCAGGGTCACAATTCCTACCAATTAGCCACACTGAAAAAAAAGACTGAAATAGTATTTTCTTGTAAAACTTACTTTGAATAAATAAACATAAAATAGTTTTGCAAAGAGAGTGTTTTGGATAGTTAATTATGAATTGTTTTGATATTAAGATTTTCTTTTTTCCAACCTGGAACAGTATCAGAAAACAAACCCTTTGAGACTAAGGGTATGTTCACATGACAACAATGTACTAAAAACTGATCTTTGAAAGGTTTCGCATACAGACGACAATGTTGTCAAAACAATCCCTGTTCCTAGTGCATGTCAGGCCAGTAGCTGTAAAGATCACTACTCACCTGCGCATTTACGCATTCCTATCCACCTTTTTCCTAACGAGCCTACTGTGCTTTATATTATGGAAGGCACTTCCAGTTTGGGGAAGTTCTGCTAAAAAAGACTGCAACAAAGCATTTCAAATCATAAGATGGCACTCCAAATAATCCTTATCCGTAATGTTGACTGAATGGTCTGTAAATTTTCATTTTCAATTTTCAGGAGAATAACGTTACGTTTGGTATGTTAATGTGACGTGATATAACAACGATATCTATAGAATAGCTTCTTCCAGCCCGCTGCATTGGTTTACTCCTGATTATTTTCACGTTTCCTTTGTATTCTGCTGTAAGTAAATGAAAAAAGACAACATATGCTATGCATTTGTGTGTACTGCTCTCCCGAATTAATAAACGATATAAACCACGAATAATTCCCTGGAATGCATGTCTCTTTTTAGGTTTGTCTTCACACAGATGCTGTGAAATGTAATAGTTTTGAAATATACACATATTACTATAATGATGTTTAACACATCCGTAATATTGCCGAGGATTGAAGGAGGATCTTTAGGAGTTATTCATGGTATGCTAAAAGTTATTTGTTCATGTTTTTACACTTTTAACCCCTTAACTGTCACCGTCCCACCTGTGGGACGCTTGGCACTCTTTTTTGTTGTTGTCCTTTTTCTCTGTCAAATCTTTTAGTAACCATCATAAATCATATATCATTTGAAAGCTTAGAAGCCCAAGATTCATCAATCAAAACTTTTTAGAAGTAAAATAGAAGTAATATTGACAGAGAAATCTAGACATTTGTGACAGAACAATGCATAAAAAAAATTAATGGAGTTTGGATGGCACCCGGTGGCTGTTTGTGGTATAACGCCCTAAATAAAATCTCACAGGAACCTCAATTTTTTTCATATCAACTTCAAATTTGGAACATAACTTATTTAGACATAAGGCTTTAATTTTATACCAATTTTAGAGTAAAACCTGTTATGTAAAATATTTATTATATATAAAATAAAATTAATATAGTGCATTTTCTTTACAGTAAATTTAAACTACCATAACTTTTTGATACTTTAAATAATCTGCTGATTTTCTTCTTTAAAAAGAGACCAACCTTATGTCTGTATTCCAAAGTGTTCATAAATTACAACAATTTAAGTTTGGATAGTGCACCTGCATGCCTATTTTAAAAAATGGGGGGGTGACAGTTAAGGGGTTTTAAATTTCCATTTAATGACTGATAATTAGTGAGTAAAATAATGCAATCACTGTACCGAGTTCTTGAAAATGCTTATCATTGCGTTCATAGAGTGAACCTTTTGCTGATTGTTTACACGTGTAAATGGAAGTTGCTCCCATAATTTGCGCCAAGCATCATGGGGCGTACGAAAACGGTGGATAGACTGAAATTTTCGCAAATCTGTGTTTTTGTAGTTTACTGCTGAGACAGTATCGTTTTCAAAAACGTGCACTTTAAAGCCTGTTTTCGAATGTTTGCATTTTCAGGCCCCCAAAACGCTTCTAAGTTAGTTACTAGACGGTTGCTAGGAAACTGCTGTAAAAGTGTCAGGTCAATTTCAGCATTGCTGTGAGTTTGCACTGCATGACAAAAGAAATGCAAGTCCTCTCTCTCACTCTCTCCAGCGTGTCGTGGTCCAGAGTGAAGGCCCAGAGCTGCAGCCTGGCGCTCAGATGAGGAACGTTCCCCAGGGTCAGGAGACACTGCTCTGCGGGGCCCAGAGGTGACCGCGGGGCCTGAGCTTTCGCCTCCTTTATCAGATTCAGCTCCTCTTCAGTGGGAACCAGCATCTGCAACCTCTGAGCCACAATAATGTCAGTGAACACTCATGCTTTCCGTTCATTGTTGCTGTAATTTGTCACGTGTGTTAGTCATGCATATATAGATTCTGTACTCGTGTTGACTTTAACAGCGCTGTAGGGAACACACCTGGATGTCTTCTCTGTCTAGTACAGTGTTGTCCATGCTGTATATGGCAGGAGGAAGCAGGTGAACCGGCAGCAGACTGCTCAGAGCTATAGTGACGATGTTACTGCGCTTCACACCCAAAACAGACACACGCGGCTGCTTCTGCTGCAGGGATGAACAGAGAAAAAGTTGGAGACCTTAATATTTGTCAGAGTTCTTTGTTTTCAGTTTTATAAAGTATACTATTTTAAGGAAGTCCATTTCAGCAACGTATGGGAAAATAATCATGTTTTGGTAATACTGTAATTATTAATTTAGGTGTCATAAATATGAGCTGTAAAGGCCAAACGTTTACTTTAAATGGCATAATCATGACATACAGTAAGCAGCAGTTCTGACGTTAAAGTCTATGACATGAAAAGTCGAAATTACGACATGTCACAATTATGAGAAAAGGCAAATATGTCATAATTTTGACTTCTAAAGTCATAATTTCAAACTTTTATCTCATAATTTACTTTGCATGTCATCATTTTGGCCAGGACTCCCTGGGAGTAGAGATGTTATATCTCAATAGGACTAAAACAAAGGATAAATAAAATAAATACAATTTCGACTTTTTATCTCATAATTATGATTTTGTCAAAATTTCGACTTTTAAAGTCATAGTTCTGACTTTGCATCTCCTAATTACAACTATGTCATAATTTTGACTTTTTTACTATAGCTTTTCATCTCGTAGTATGTCATAATTTAGACTTTTAAAATCTTGATTTCAACTTTTTTTTTCGACTTCGTATTTCATAATTATGATTTTGTCATAGTTTCGATTTTTCATCTAATAATCCTGACTTTTGAAGTCATAATTATAACTTGCCAAAGCATGAGTTCTTTTTTTGGACTTCCATAGGCTACTATTGTGGTGCCAGCGACAGCTCTGATCATTGCTGAAATATTATCAGACAAAATTATTCTCTGATCTACGGTAATCTTTACTGACACATAAGGATTTAACAGGAATATTTTATTGGGGCGGCGATGTTCATGTAGTCCAGCGATTGTTTACTAGAGCATTACACATTGAAGTCCTACCTGTCGTGCCCCCATCAGACTGCAGAGGGCGCTGTTGTTGCTGCTTTTGCTCTCAAACAGGTATTCCAGTCTATTGGTGTCTAGCTGAACCGGTTCCAGACCGGCCCAGATCGACTGAAGCCCAAAGCGGCCCACTCTCGGCAAAGGCTGCAGACTCAACAGCGCGCTCCAGTGGAGCCTCAGAGTGCGACAGCCTGACGACTCGCTTGCTACCGAGAGGGGCGGGGCCAAAGGGGGAGGAGGAGGCAGGGGGATGGGTGTGGCTGCAATCTGATTGGACGAAGTTTGGGAGGAGTCTTCATCAGTGCTGTCCAGCTCAAGATCCTCGTCATCCCATAGGTCGGAGAAGTCCAGGGCGTTGAGGCGGAGCAGAGGGGCGTGTTTTACGAGGGAGGACCAGGAGGTGTCGAGACGAGACGATTCGGCTTCTTTCATTGGATATTCCTGGTGATTTACTCTTGAAGCACTTGAGGAAAGTAAATGCATGTGCAAAAAGATGCTTGCGTGGTAAACCTTGTTCTTTCTCTTCTCCAAATAAACCCAATGAGCAAATATCCAATCTGAATATACTTCAGAGTTTAACAGAAATGGTTTACCGCATTAAAAATGATCAGCGTCCATTCATAGTTGCGTCATGAACGTGCTGAAGAACATGCAACTCCTTCACCGTTTTGCTGTAGCAAGATTTCCAAAAATGAAAAACCATATGTCTTCATGTACTTCAAAACGAAGATGATCCATTCACAGGACCTTCAAGAACGTGCAGCGCACTTTTTATGCAGTGGTTTTTCAAATGATGCAGCTCCTCTGAGAATCTCCACTGTAGCTTCAGGTGAAGTTTGAACTTCTACAGCATCTGTCTGAGGGCTCACATTAGAGAGCTCGTCTATGTTATCAAGAGCACCAGTGGATGTCAGATGTTCTCTCACACTCGGTTGAGGTTTGCATCCTTCAGGGCCGATGCTGCAGTATTTCAGAAGCTCTCCAGTGAATGTCAAATGCTGTAGAGTCCTTTCAGTGTCCAGTATTTGTGAGAGAGAGACGTGACACTCCGTCTGCATCCCAGACGTTACTCTTTTAGACAGAAAAGAGTGTGTTTGTTTGGGCGTTTATTTGAGTTGCGCCCTTTCCGTTAATGTCCTTATCTCTCCAGCATCTCCTGTTTATATCGCTGCTTCTGTACACACAGCTTCACGATCTCTCCGTCTCCACCCTTTTGCTCTCTTTCAGTCTCTCCCGTGCTCCCAGGTTATGATGGCATCCCTCCTTATTCCTTTGAGAGTCAATCCATGTTGGGACTGGGATTGCATATGGTTTTTGATCATACAATCTTGCTATCAGTCAATCATCACTATTACTGTTGCTCATGCATGATGGCTAAGGATCTAAACAACCCTCTAAGTAATAAAGTTCAGTTTAATGACTCTTTAAATCATGTGCATGTTCATCTGCTGGACCATAAAACAGGTGAAACAATACAGATGCACACTGGAAGTTGCCAAAATATGACATGCTTTCTTAAGTCAACTAAAAGCACTGAAGAGCTCAATTCAAGCAGCTTTAAGAACTGAACTGCCTGGTTGTGTGAAACTAATGCATAGCGATTTTCCAGTTCAGCTCATGTAAACACATCCATAAGTCTTTGCAGTTTGATTTCATGCTATTTCTGAGACAGCATGGCTCTCTTATATGGTTGTTTGTGTAGGGCTTGCCAGCACTTAGCAACCATTTGGATTGACGTAGTGAAAATAAAGTGTTTTTATCTGCAACCATTATATATTTTTTTCTTTATTTTACTGCAGTAAAGTACATTTGTAACACAGACACAGATATATTTTAAAGAATGTTTGCGGATTTATCTGTTTTTTAATAATATTGTTTTTTTTTTTACATCAATGTTGTTATTATTAAAACTATTAAGAAATAATTTTAGTTCATTGAAATAAATCTGAAAAATATCAATATTAGATGAAAAACTTGAAAAATGAAAATTAGAAGTACTAAAATGATTAACTGAAATAAAATGAACGCTAAACTGAAATATATAAAAGCACATAACAAAATCACTAAAACTAATAAATGAAAACTAAACATATAAAATAAAAGCTAATTCAAAATATTAGTAAACACCATAACAGTTGATAAATAATACAAAAAGAGCATTTTCTGTGATTTTACAATCACTGGGCTGTTAATTACGTCTCATGTGGCTGTGTCTCCAAAAGCTGCTTATGTTTGTTTGTAGAGCCGAGGGGAAGTGATTGGTATCACAGGGCTGGACGTTGTCCATAATAGTGTTTAATGAGGTTTAATTAGCTCGAGAGGGCAATCCCAGACTTCAGTCAGATGGGAATGACCGCCGATTAGAATCAGTGAGATGTTATTAATTATGATGTGAAGGAGATGCGAGTCAGAACTCCAGCAGTGTCCTTCAATAAGCCATTCAACTGCTAGACTTCTAGTTTTAAATATGGATTTCATTTCTCTCTCGCTTTCTTTCTTCTTAAAGGAATCCTAATTCCTGTTTTCAGTTAGGTTATTTTATATTCATTAGACTTCTATTGATTCTTAGATGATTCTTGGTTGATCCCAATAGGATAAGTTCCAAATTATGATATATATATAAAAAAAAACTTTTTTATCAATGTTTTATTGAGATGGTTGTTTATTTGTGTTATGTATTGTTTAAATGTGGTGATGCAGTGGCTGTTTTTGGAGCCCAAGACAAATTTCCCTGTGGGGATAATAAAGTATACCTTACAAAACCTGTTTACGACTTTACAGTCAAAAAATGAGTCAGCATATCTTTCTCACTGTTTCAACAACAGCACATTTCATCAATATCAGTGAATCTTAATATTAAAGATTTAGAAGGATAAATGGTGTGTAGAATTTTGAAGTGTATTTTTTATTTATTTTTTATTTTATTTACTTAAAAGAAATGAACCAAGCTCTTCTCCAGTCAATATTCTCAATTATAGAGTTAAAAAAATATATTTTATTTTAGGAAAATATTACATATATGTTTGTTATTGCATTTTTCTCAGTTAGCTCAACACCTTGGGTTTGTCACAGATGGAGAATTATAACAAATATGACTTTTGACAAGCTGACGAAGTGTTACAGGAATAGCTTTAATAACTGAATTAAATCCCCTATAGGGAAACTGTACATAGACATGAATTGTTCGTAAGTTAAAAGATTTCCAAAACTGTCAAAAAAATGTTTATAAGATGATTAATCTGTTAAACCAACTTGTTAAAAAAAAAGATTTATTTGAAAGTGTTATAATACCATTATTCCAAATGAAGGAGGTGTGAGGAGAGAAGTTGTGAGAGTAACACATTTTCCAAGCGAGAAGAGCTTGCTGATGAAATTTGGATAATTTGAGGGGAATTTTAGAAATATTGTAATGCGTGTTAACGCTGCTCTGAACCTTTGTTTAATGCTTTATTTATTCAATGCAACAATAACAAGAAGTATTACACATATGATCAAATTAACATTAGCTGCCAGAGAAAAAAAGAATGCTTTGAGCATTACAAGTTTCAGTGCTTTTTTTGTTTGTTTAATTTAAAGCCATTTATAAAATGTGAAAAACCTGGTCTACATTGAGCCCACTTCTTCTTATGTATATGGAATTTTCCTAGCAAAATAAATGTATATGTTGTTCTTTACAATTACAATTGTCGTTTTCTGTATTAAAAAGTACATCAAATATACACATTTCTATCATACACTCCATGTTTCTGTTAATATGCCTATAGAATTCCAAATCCTTCCAAAATAATCTTGAGTAAATACAATGAAAAAAAATAAAAAATCTTGACCACCACAAAATTCCCAGGTGGCCTATACGACATATTAAGCTTAAATCTTTCCAAAGCATGCTTAGCAGGATACATTCTTTGAAGTATTGTGTAAGACACTTCCTTTAACTGCTCTGAACCTTGTATTTGCAGTGATGGAGCTGAAGCTGTCATCCTCAAGACAACATTCGATTGGTCCTTCGAAACGCCATACGTCATCTCCGCCCCCCACCGCGCACTGCACCGTTATTATTCGACGAGCGACCGACACCGAAACTACAATGTCAAGCATTTACGGGACACCGAGCTCCTCCGCGTTCAAGGACCCGTCCTGATTTCTTAATATAGCTACGCGCAAAATCTACGAACAACCAGATGATATTCCTGGAAGCAAAAGATTGAGATGATGCATCATCTTTCAGACAAGGTAAGTCAAGAGAGACCGCTTTAAGAAGTTCGCGAACGGCCGCGGTTTCGTTGCGCCGACGATCTTCGCGATTTTCGCGCGCTTGTTCCACGCAAAACTCTTTCAGTTTGTTGTTTGTTTCGCGTCTTTAAAACGACTTTAAATGATTGACAGCACCCGAATGTTTCAGCTGCGAAGCGGATGTGTTGCGAAATATAATTTAAAGTGTTGCATGCGTGCGAAATATCTGCGCGCTTCGAACGGATCAAATACGTGCGCCTTTCTTACGTAATAAGCGCGCGGGGCAGATGCGCGTGGTATTGAGCTGAAATCATCAACGCTTGCTTTCCTTGTAAAATATGCTTAGAAGAGAAAGAGAACAGTAGATTGCAAGGAGCATAAATATATATTTTTATGCATGCATTTCTAAAGCGATTTTTCGGTTTCAGACAGCTGCACAATATGCTTCAAAGTGATGCAACCACTTCAACACACCTGTCACGCACATCACTGTCAGTGCAGTGCTTTACAATTGGATTTGCTTTAGAAGCAGGATTTATACTGGACATAAAAAGTCTGAAAGTTGAGAAGTCCGATTATTGTGCGTTCATGTGTTATTTTAATGTTCATTTTATTATTGCTATTTGCACTCAGCGTGATTTCCCACCGGCTCTGCATATGTAAGTTCGAGTGGAAGTGGTTCTGTTGGTGCAGCGTGTCTTTATTTATCCCTCGCCCCGTGTAGGTGGAAGTGTGAGTGAGTCAGGGAGAGATGGAGGTGATTAGAAGAAAAGACTCTGACTCAAACGGCCTCTTCTCGGACAGCTCGGACAATGACTGTGAGGTATGAACGCCATTATTGGAAAGGTAGGAGTGCCATTATTGGAGCTGCACATGTTCGCTTTCTCTTTCTGTAGGACATGGGGGCTTGTGGACAGACGACTGGAGTGTGTTTGTGTGAAAATACCCCCTTTACCAGCTTCTGTGATCAGCACCCTAGGGAGGTGAGTGTTTATGTACATATGACAGTGGTGAGCCGTGACTTTTTTAACCGTGGATTCCCCCGGTCTATGTGTCTCTGCATCAGCTAAATATTTTTTTTTTATTCCCAGTGAATAGGAGTTAAAACTCCCACTTGGGTGACACTACTCCAATAACAGACCATGCAAAATACCCCAAAATATTTAAAATATTGCAAAGTAACGTTGCAACTCTGCAAA